CCAGGATTGTGACTTAGGAAAAATACTGCATTAGATCTATAGGAGCCTGAGGCTTCTCTGTATAGAAGGGACTATGTTGTCTCCAATTTAAGAGATCAGTAGTAGAGAAGGGCTGATAAATGAAGAGCCATCCTCCCCCTTGGACTTAATTATGTGCATTTAAATAAATTTGTCCCCTTGTTTCTCAGAGGGGCATCTGCATTGCTCGGGCATGGCCTGACCTAAGGGGGCCAATCTCATCCCCCTGGAGTTCCTCCCTTGGCTTTTCAGGCAAGGGCTCTGGCTCCTCTCTGTGTGGTGTTGCCTGAGGGATGCTTTCTTCTGAGTCTGAGCCTCTGGAGGCAGCCGGGGCAGCCTCCTGTCTAAGCCTTGCCAGGGATGGATAAATTGGTGTATGGGGGGTGGACTTTCTAACTCTGCAGCTGTGACCTGTAGGACAGGTATTTTTCTGCTTTTCCTGTGACTCCTTTTCTTTTTCTGATGCCTTGCAGTCTTTTTCTATGGTTCCTGGTTTTATCTGGGCCATCAGAGTCTTACAGTAGGTCTCAAAGCAGGCCTGCAGCCACTTAAGGTGAGTTTGAATTACTCTTAGCCAGGAGTCGACATATGGAACTGATCTGGGTGCCCAAGCTGTTCTCCAACCCCAGTGACTACCCAGAACACTCAGCCAATTATCTCCCTGTCTATTGTCCCTTCAGCTGGCCACCCTACATTAAAAGATGGCCAGTCTATCTCACAAAGGCTTCTCAGTTTCTGTGGAGTTAGCTTAACCCCATAATCACCATTAAAACCTTTTTTAAAGTTTCTCAGCATACAGTCCAGTGGAGTAGGCTTTGATGTTTTTCCTCCCATTTCTTCCCTCATAGCACACTTTCACTCTTGGATCCACTAGATCAGGTCCTATTATGGGAGGTTCAGACACTGCTTAGCCAGGAGCATGCCTGAATTCCTGTCACAGCTAGCTGCAGCCGTAGAGCTGGTCCTATGGGTTGTATGCAGCATCCTAGGTCTGGTTTTTCCCACATTCGCCTCGGAGCACACAGTTCACACTAAGAGAGCTGTGCCTCCCCATGTCACGCCCCACGTTGGTCTTTTCTGAGACCATCTCTTTCACACACTTTCACACACATCCCCCGTCCCCGAAACGGTTTTCCTTTCTGACTGACTCTCGAGCCCCACCCGTGTCTGGTGTCAGTTAGGGCATGAGTTTTGTCCAAGTCAATGGACTTCTCCCAGTGTTCCCAACCCCCTTGGGTCAGACTAATTGTCACGCCCTGGGAGGTAATCAGGCTCCCCTTCCATCCTTATGGGAAGGGTCTTGCCTTAGGGCCCAAATCTTACCACGGTTCAGATGTCTGTGCACTGCTCCTGTGACTGTCCTGCAACCCTTTCTACTGGTTCCATTTGCACTTTTGGGGGAAGGCTCCAGAACGCAGGAGGGCCAGGCTGTTCTCCTTCTGGGCTGAAACTCTCGGTGGTGCAAGGACCCCAGGTCTCCCATGTCCTGGGGCTCTAGCCCACAGGCAAAGGAGACAGAAAATCTGCCATTTCCAATCCCGGACGAGGCCCCTAGAAATGTTACAGGACAACCAAAGACTGCAGAGACTGAAAAAGGTTCAGGAGAGTTTATTAAGGTGATCACTGGCTCAGCCAGACATATGTCCAGAAAGTCTGAGTCCCAAACAAAGGGCTTTCCCTAGTTTTAAACATCTTAAGGTGGGAACTCCGTGAGGTGGGAAGCAAGTTACAGAAGTGAGAAACAAAGGCAATTAATCAAGCATTACAACATTTCTTACATCTTGAGAAAAACATGTCTTGCAACTTAAACTTACCGGTCTTGTGACCCTGCAGCCATGCCAGGGAGGTAAGCAGGGACTTACTGGGCCTGTAATAAACTTTGAGGAATGTGGAGTTGAGAAGTATAGATAAGGTCCACTGACCACAGAGAGAAGACAGGCTGTTAATATTCTCTTTTAACTTGAGTGTAACTCAAGTTAAAGTTGCAGCAACTTCAAGAGGATTTAAAAATTTCTATTACTGCTACAATTAGGTTATAGTTGATTTCATTAATTCCTTCTTCATCTTTACTATGTCTTTCCAGAGAGTGTGATGCCTTTTGAGGTCTAATAAGAGACATTCACAAGTGTTCTCTTTGAGGCCTGCTACCTGGAGGCTTCATCTACTTGAAAAGAACCTTGGTTTCTGCAACTCCCCACCCTTTACCTTAACTCAAGCTGATTTCAACTCTTCAGCCAGAGCTTAGCCCTTTCAACCAATTGCCAATCTGGAGATCTTTAAGTCCACCTATGACCTGAAAACCCAGCCCCTCCTCCTTTGAGATGTCCCAACTTTCCAGGCTGAACCAACATATAAACATTTTTTTTTTTTTTTGAGACGGAGTCTCGCTCTGTCACCCAGGCTGGCGTGCCCAGGCTGGAGTGCAGTAGCATGATCTCAGCACACTGCAACCTCCATCTCTCAGGTTCAAGCAATTTTTCTGACTGAGCCTCCTGAGCATGTATTGATTTATGTCTTTGCCTATAATGTCTTTGTCCCTAAAATGTATCAAATCAAACTGTAACCCAATCACCTTGGGCACATGTTCTCAGGACCTCCTGAAGCTGTGTCATGGGTCATGATCCTTAACCATGGCAAAATAAACCTCTAAATTAATTGAGACCTGTCTCAGATACTTTTTAGTTTACAGATTGAGATCTTAACCTGTAAGATTTGACACCATTTCCAGGTAGATAGTGTTGAACTGAAGTAGGACATGACACCCAAGCTGGTGTACACTGGAGAATTGCTTGGTGTAGTGAAAATCCCCCACACATCTAGTGTCAGAAGTGTTATTGTTAGAGTAGGTAGTCCGGCAGATATGGGCAAGGCAGGAAAGGCAAGAATGTCAGGCGACAATCAGGTGATAGCCAGGCAGTTATTAAACTGTCACTCTAAAATAATAATTGGTTGCAGTAGATGCCAGGGAAAGGCAATCTCCTAAGAGATAGAAAACACCTAAGGGTGGTGATCAGCTGCTTTCCACTAAGATCTCAGGAGTTGGGCAAGTGTGCTTAAGCATGCATACTAAGTGGCAAAGTGGCAGAGTTTAACTGGTACACAACTTTCCTCTGGGAACACTTGACTGGTAAGGGAAAAATGCCTCAAATGAGCATGTGCACAACGTCAGTAAAAGACACTGCACATACAGCCCCTCCCAAGTGCTGACAGGCCACTGCGCATGCAGACAGCCCACGCCAAGGAAAAATCAAAGGAGAGATACAAAACCTTGGCAGCATGCCAATGTATACAACCCCAAGTCAAAAGTCAAACAGGGCACCTGGATCTCTCAAGTTGCCTGCTTGCCCCTCTTCCTTTGGTTCCTGCTCTAAAACTTTCTAATAAACTATCACTCCTGCTCAAAAACTTGCCTCAGTCTCTCACTCTGCCTTATGATGCCTCTTGGATGAATTATTTCCTTTGAAGAGGCAAGAATCAAGTTACTGTAGATCCGTGTGGATTCACCACTGCTAACATTATGTTGAGTGCTATGTGAGAGGAAAAAAACCCTTTTTTTCCCTATCTCTAATAATGAGCTTAACATCAGAATAGAAATAACAGAAGAAAAAAATCAAAGAACTGGAAGCCAGAATTTACTCAACCTGAACAACAGAAAGAAACTAGAATTGGAAAAAAGGAAAAAAAAAGAACAGAGCCTCAGGGACCCGTGGAACTATCATAAAAGATCTACATGGGGACTAAAAATTTACTCCAAGAAATAATGGCTGAAAACTTCTAAAATTTGTCAAGAGACATAACTACAGAATTCAGCAATACAGAAAAAGAAATATACACTAGGACCAAGCGAGGTTTATTCCAGGGAGGCAGGGCTGGTTCAATATTAGAAGATCAGTGTCATCTATCTTATTAACAGGCTAAAGAAGAAAAACATCACATGCTTATAGTAACTGATGCAGAAAAACACTTGCCAAAATTCAACACCTATTAATGATAAAAATTCTCAGAAAAAAATAGAAATAGAGGAGAATTTCCTCAACTTGATAAAGGGCATCGACACAAAACCTATAGCTAATATTGTACCTAACCATGAAAGACTGAATGTTTTCCCTCTAAGATCAAAAGCAAGGCAAGGATGTCTGCTCTCATCACTCTTATTCAACGTAGAGCTAGACATTCTAGCTTGTGCAATAAGGCAAGAAAAGGAAATAAAAGGCATATAGATCTAAAAGAAATAAGTAAAATCTGTTTACTTATTTACAGGTATTGTGATTACACAGAAAATCCCAAGGAATCAACAACGGAAGATTCCTAGAACTCAAAAGTGACCAACAAATTCCTCTTTAAGTAAATTTAAGTTGGGTCTCTATCACGTGTAATTGAAAGAGTCCTTTATTTATTCACAAATCCATCAACTATTTATTGAATGCCTAAAATTTGCCAGTAGCTATTCCAGGCAATAGATACACCATCAAACAAAAGAGTTTTTACCCTCAAGGGTGATAGTAAGAGATGTAAAAAGTTAAAAAAAAAAAAAAGGTAAAAGAGAAAAAATGAAGAATGATACTTTAGAAAAATGTGGTAAGGGAAGAGTTATTTAATAGGACACCTCATAAAATGAAGAATTTGGCCAGGGGGATATCTGAGGGAAGAGTTCCAATCAGTGGAAACTGTGAATTCAGAAAGCCTGAGGCTGAAACAGGCAAGTGTGTTTGAGAAAAAGCAAAGAGGCTGGTGGCTGTCCTCAGTGAGGCAGAGGAAGGGGAATGGGCTGTGGATCAGAGGACCTTGTGCCAGATTATGCAACTCCTTGCAATTCATGTAAGGACTCGGATTTTACCTGGAAAGGAAAGAGAAGCACTGAAAGAGCTGAGCAGGGGAGTAAGTAACCTGATAGCGTTTATGTTTAGTCCTGCCACTTCAACAGATAAACACATCAACGTGTTTGCTGAGATTTAAGCCAACCCATAACCACCCCTCAACTTCTTTCCTTTCAATTTCAAAACTTCTCTATGGCTTCCTCCATCTGTTCTTTCCTCCTTCTGAAAAGTGCTTTCTTTGCCCCTTTACAGAACTAACCACTTCAGCAACTCCTTGGACACTTTCCTTCTTGTGAATAATTTGCTCTATCGGCCCCTCAAAAGCTTGCCGTGTATGTAAATCATTACCTGTAAGAGGAACCGCTGGGAGTCGTGCAAACTTTCATTGTAAACTTTAGCCCAGAATTTGGCTCCTCCTCCAGAATGTCTCCACCAATCAAGTAAAGTGCTTTGGGCCAGTCTTGCTCCTCCGAGTTGTCAGGCTGCTCCTCCCTCTTGTTTTGACTGCTACGAGGAAAAAGCAGATGTGAGAACTCAAGATTCAGGGCTGCTCTTCTAGGAAACAAGTCTGCCATAATCTCCAGCTGTGTTGGAATCTGTTAACTAGTGAGTACCTCATCTCCTCTCCTGTGTAAGATTTCCTGAACTGGCACGTCTGATTTTTAGCAAAGATAACAAACAGATGAACAAAACCAACAATCAAAAATGCTGTCATTAAAGTCTTGGGCAGCCAAAGTTTCTCTCAGAATTTCTCAGTTGTGTGATACTATCTATTAAGTGATGAGGAGTATGCACACACAAAAGGCTATAAATGTAGCAGCTGAGTTTTCATATTGAGCCTTTTGGTGCTATTTGAGTTTTTGAAAAAGTATGTACATGTGTTAACTTGATTTTTTAAAATTTTAATTTTAATTGAACCGGATGTGGTGGCTCACGCCTGTAATCCCAGCACTTTGGGAGGCTATGGTGGGCAGATGAAGATCACTTAAGGCCAGGAGTTCAAGACCAGCCTGGTCAACATGGTGAAACCCTATCTCTACTGAAAATAAAAAATTAGCCAGGTGTGGTGGCAGGTGCCTGTAACACCAGCTACTTGGGAGCCTGAGGCAGGAGACTCACTTGAACCTGGGAGGTGGAGGTTGCAGTAAGCTGAGATTGCACCACTGCACTCGAGCCTGGGCGACAGAGCAAGATTCCATCTCAAAAAAAAAAAAAAAAAAAAAAGACCAGGTAGTGGCTGAGTTTTTCACTGTTCTGTCTGCTTAGCTCCCCACCTCGCTGGGTGACAGATCTTCTGCATCATCCAGAACGTATGTAAATTACTTCTAGGAAACTTTGAGAAACACAGATGCAAACCTAAGAGCAGCCAGTTTTCTCCTTTAGGTGGTCAAGGGCAGCTGCAAAAGTTCTGTATAGGAAGGGTTTCAGGCAGGGTCTGGTTGGGGTTGGAGAGAACAGCAGTGGCTTTACCTTGCGTTGAGGCTGTATATGTTAAACTACTGTTGTTACTCTTATATTTAGAGGGAGGATGTTTATGGAGATGTGGGGAGGCTAAAGCCCCCTTGGCTGTAGGGACAAAGATCTTGCATTTCAGATGAGACCTGAAATACTTTCAGAGCCCATCTGACCAGGGGTGGTACTGTCTTTCTTAGAAGAGTTTTCCTTATCAGTGTGGCTCACTATAAAAATCCGGAGTCACCCTGGAAAAGTTATCTCAGCTCTTTTACCTACAAATAATTTTATAAACCTGGGAAATAGAAGTTGTAAAATGCTAAGATCAATGAAAAGGGAGGAAAAGAACTTTGCTGAGGAGAAGGCAATCTTATGGTTTTGATGAAGAGGATGTTGATATTTGCTTTTTGGTAGAACAGAATGGTTAGGTTCATTTTAAGCTCCAAATGACTGATCAATTTTCTTTTCAACATACGTTTGAAGGATTCTGAATGTGGTATAGAGTATTGTATGGAAGCTAGGGAAGAAATCATACTAAACTCTTGATTCTATTCAGAATCAGCAAGCTAAGTATGGTATATTTATCCCCAATCATATTGATATTTACATAATTATATAATGTCTTCCTTAATAGTCTATAAGCTTCATGGGAGCAAGACCAGCTGTGTCCGTTCACAGCTATATTTTCAGCATTTAGTACAGGTCTGGCATATAGCAAGTGTTCAATAAATATATGGGTAATGAATAAATGCATTGTCCAATTTAAATATTAGACTTGCCAGCTAATTCTGTTAAGAGGAGAGCACCCAAGAGCACAGGCTGTGACTTGCCAGCATACAACGGGGTCCAGTTTGTGTCTGTTTGTGTATACTTCCTTGTCTGTAAAATGAAAATAATAATAATTAACTGCAAAGTGCTTAACAGTACAACCACCTGCCAGATCTCTGCAAAAATGTTACCTCCCTAGAGAGACCTTCTAAAAGGTCTCTTTTCTCCCATTACTCTCTTTGTTTTCTTGTGTAACATCACATTTATTTATTCCCTTGTTTACTGTATGTGTCCTTCCATGAAAGCAGGGAGGACCTTGTCTCTTTCATTCCCTCCTATATCCTCTATGTCTGAAATAATTCATGGCAAGTGATTTATAATTGTTGAATAAATAAATGAATCATGCCAACCTACCAAGAATGAAGCTCAAGAGCTTATGATATTTGTCCACATTCCTGCCTCTTATTTAATAGAATCAGAAATTTTTTCTAATACCCCACAACCATTTAAAAATACTATTCATTTTCACATCCAAGTAATGAAAGAATCAGGACATTCCTTTTGGAAGAAATAGTTTCAACATTTTATGTAAATTGCAAAATTATACAAAAACTCAAGTGATCATTGATAGGGGACCAGTTTAAGAAATTACAGTGCAGTTCTTCACTAGAATGTCATGCAACTGTTAACAGAAAAAAACATGGCCAAGTGTGTTGGCTCCCACCTATAATCCTAGTGCTTTGTGAGGCTGTGTGTGTGTTTGTGTATATTTCCTTGTCTGTAAAATGGAAAAAATAATAAATAACTGCAAAGTGCTTAGTACAGGAGGATTGCTTGAGGTCAGGAGTTTGAGACCAGCCGGGGCAACATAGCGACACCCCATCTCTAAAAAAAAAAATTTAAAAACACTTAGCCGGGTGTGGTGGCACACACCTGTAATCCCAGGTACTCTGGAGGCTGAGGCAGGAGGATCGCTTCATCCCAGAAGTTCAAGGCCGCAGTGAGGTATGGTCGTGCCACTACAGTCCAGTCTGGGTGACAGAGTGAGATCCTGTCTTTAGGTGGGGAAAAAAAAGGAAAGAGTAAATAAATAAATACTTATTTAAAAAAATAGAATGAAGATCTCTGTGCACTGGTATGGAAAGCCCTCAAAAGGTAGGTTGTTAAAAATGTTTTTAGTGGGCAGAATAGTGTGTATTCTGGGCTATCTGTTGTGTAAAATTGGTGGAGAAATAAGAATCTATACTCATAATTTACTTGAATGCACATAAAGAAATCCTGAAAAGATAAGTAGAAAGAATAATAGTGGTTTCCTGGGGGTGAGAGCAAATCAGGCAGCTTTGAGACTAGAGGTGGGAGGCAGATATTTTTTTTCTCCATGTACCTTTTATGGTTTTTTTGAGCCATTTGAAGATATTATGCGAAAAAAAATTAAAAACAGAAAGAGACAAGTAGTGTTGGTTACTTCTTCTTTCAGTTGAAGGAAACCTGATGCTAATTCTGTTAAGAGGAGAGCACCCAAGAGCACAGACTGTGACTTGCCAGCATACAACAGGGTCCAGTAGTTCCCTCTCTACCCAATCCCCAATGCCAAACAGAATGACGTTGTTGGACTTAAGGTCTTAACCCGCAGGGCAACTGGGATTCAGAGTGATTTTAGTTCTGTTCTTAAGAGCAGCCTTTTCTCCTAAAGCCTGCCAAGAAATTTTTGCTAATGCTTCCCGGAAACAAAACAGACAAGGCTCCTGCTCTAGTAGAGCTTATATCACAGTGCAAAGATAAGCAAACTGCAGCCCATGGGCCAAATCCAGCCTTCCGCCTGTTTTTGTATAGCCTTTGTACTAAGAATGGTTTTTAAATTTTTTAATGGTTGAAAAAATAACTAAAAGAGGAACACCAATTCATGACACGTGAAAATTAAATGAAATTCTAGTGTCAGTATCCATAAATAAGGTTTTATTAGAACACAGCCATGCCAAAATGTATTTATGTATTGTCAATGACTGCTCTATCAATGGCAGAGTTAAATACCTGCAGCAGAACCATATGGCCCACAGAGCCTCAAATATTTAGTGTCTGGCCCTTCACAGAAAAAGTTTGCTGACCCCTATTCTAGTAATATGCTTGGCACCATGATAAGCATTTCACATGCAGTATCCCATTCAGTCTTCAGGAGAAATCTCTGAGGGAGGTTCTATTAGTCGCTCCATTGGTAAAATGTGAAACTGAGGTTCAGAGTGATTAATAATTCAAATAAGGTCACACAGTTCATAAGTGGCAAAACTGGGAGACTATATCACATGACTATATGACTCAGTAGCCAACGTATTTAACCATCATGCTATAGACTAGTGCTTTTCACACTTGAATGTACATAGCAGTCACCTGGGATCTTGTCAACGTCTACCAATTCAGCAGATCTAGAGTGGGGCCTGAGAATGTGCATTTCTAACAATCTTCTAGGTGATAATGATGATGATGCTGGTTCACAAATCACAGCCTCTAAATCAGTGATTCTCAACCATGGCTGCTGCACATTAAAATCTGAGGACATTTTAAAAAATATAAATGGTCCCAGAGCCCACTCTCAAATATTCTCATTTAATTGATTCAAGACCTAGGCATCAGAGTATTTTTTTTTTCATGCTTTCTTGGTGATTCAAATGTACAGCGGGACTGCGAACCACTGCTCTGTTGAAATCCTGTTGAATGATAGTAGAAACATTCAAATGGGAATCCAAAGACCAGAGTTCTAGTTCTAACTCTGGTATGACAGAATAAAGCAGGCTGTTTCCCCTCTCTGGGTCTCCAGTTTTCTTTGCAGGTGAAAAAGGAAAAAGCTGAAACCAGATGGTCTCAGAGGGCTCAAGATCACTGAGTTGTCAGGTCTTCACACAAATAAATGGGAAGGACAGAAGTCCCCATGTTTCCTGATGCATTGGGTATATCAACATGATGCCCAAACACCAGGTCTGTTTAGGGTAAAACCGCAATAATTGTAGATGTCAGCTAAACTCTCCATTTAGCTGACATCTGCAATTATGTATTGTTTTGGCAATGTATCAATACAGAAATGCTTCCACATAGCCAGACTGCCTTATAGCTAGAATTGTAGTTAGAATGATGATTTAATGATTATGAGAGTAATATGTATTGCAGTGTAAGAAATTTGGAAAGTTACAGGAAGTATAATGAGAACTTCAAACACTCATAATCCCTAGAACTGCATTTTTAACAGCCTCAACCAAGTAAATGACATTGTGATCAAATGATTTCCCACAGAAGCAGGCAATGGCCGAGAGGGGCCTCCCCCACAAAAGTCCTAAATATTAAAGCCCCATTATTACATCTCTAGTAAATGCAGCTCCAAGCCTGGACTTGAAAGTAGCATGGGCCCCTATTGAGAGCATGGGAACTGCAGCCTATCAACTAGACAGTTTATAAACTGTGACAGTGCTTTCATGTCTAATTTTTATTGGGCTACTCTCGATTTCTTCATCTACAGATTATCCACTGTGAAAAATGCTCCTTAACATTTCTGCCCTACTTTGAAATCTGCAGGTGAAAGATATTAGACAAGAAGGCTTAGCCCTTTGCTTTCAGTGAGATTAAGTGGGTGACCCAGATCTTTACTTCTTTAGAAATGCATGTGGGAGTCAATAGTGCACAGTATTCTGGAGAATGGACTAGGACCTGAAAGTTCTGGGTTCAAATTCAGCCAATGCCTCTTACTAGTCATTTTCTCAATCTGTAAACAGAGATGATAATAGTACCTACTTCACAGGGTTTCTCTGAGCCTTTAATAAGAAAGTGTATATAAAACACTGAGCACAGTGTTTGGAACACAGAGTGTATGCAGAAAATGGTACCATCATGATGATTATCAATGATAATAACAAAACTTAGCCACTTTGGGGTGTGGCTACCTTCAGGACAGAAACAAATATATGTCCTTTTGCTCGTCTTTTAGATGAATTGGTCTCTGTGCAAATCCTGACTGCTAAAGTTTCCAACAAGACTGATGCTAGCTTGTGTCACCATGAAGATGCTACATCATGCCAAGTGTTGCCAGCGCCTAACAATTTTTGGTTCTGTGAGGGCATTGCATAAAGATAATAGAAGAGCAACCCCTCAGAATTTTTCCAACTATGAATCCATGAAACAGGACTTCAAACTGGAGATTCCAGAGTATTTCAACTTTGCTAAAGATGTCCTGGACCAATGGACTAATATGGAAAAGGTATGGGGGAAAGGCCAGACGACAATTTCTCAACTGGGAGTGATTTTACCCCTAGGTAACATCTCTAATGTCTGGAAATATTTTTGTTGCCATGATAGGGGCAGAGGCAGTTGCTACTGGCATCTAACAAGTAAAAGCCAGAGATTCTGCTAAATATCCCATAATGCACAGGGCAGCCTCCAGAACAAAGAATTATTTGACCCGAAATGTCAATAGTTCCATGGTTAGTTGAGAGACCCTGGATTACATAAATGTAGAATTCTAGGTTGACTTAAAAAAAAAAAAAAAAAGGAGAAGAGTGAAAAGTAATTCCAAGAGTCAGAAATGGTAGAAAAGGAGGCACAGAAAAATCTTTGGGGAAAATATAAAGGATGCAAGAATTCTCACTTATTGGAAAGAAAAATGATCAGGCTAAATGGGAAATGATTTGGGCCAAAAGAAACAACATGGCTTCCAATGTCTAGAAATAAGGACCCCAAGTTATTATTTTTCCTGTTATTTTTAGTTATGTAATAATTATACATAGTTATGGGGTACAGAGATATTTTTTGATACATGTATAAAATGTGTAGTGATCAAATCAGGGTAATTAGACTACCCATCATCTCAAACATGCATCATTTCTTTGTGCTGGGAGCATTCAAAATCCTCTCTCCTAGCTTTTTGAACATATACAGTAAATTATTCTTAACTGTTTTCACTCTACAGTGCTATAGAACACTAGAACTCATTCCTCCCATCTAGCTGTAATTTTGCATCCCTTACCCAACCTCTTTCTATCCTCCTCTCCCCACTACCCTTCTCAGCCTCTAATAGCCACAATTCCACTCTCTACTTCTATGAGCTCTTTTCAGGCTGGAGTGCAGTGGTGTGATCTCAGCCCACTACAACCTCCGCCTCAGGGGTTCAAGTGATTCTCGTGCCTCAGCCTTCGGAGTAGCTGGGACTACAGGCACCTGCCACCATGCCAGCTAATTTTTGTATTTTTAGTAGAGACAGGGTTTTGCCATGTTAGCCAGGCTGACCGTGAACTCCTGGTCTTAAGTGATCTGCCCACCTTGGCCTCCCAAAGCGCTGGTATTACGGGTGTGAGCCACCCATCGCACTGGGCCGAGCTCCTTTTTTTTTAAATTTTTTTTATTTTTTATTTTTTTAAGAGACAGTGTCTTACTCTGTTGCCCAGGCTGAAGTTCAGTGAAGCTCATTTTTTTAAGCTCCCACATATGAGTAAGAACATGTGGCATTTATCTTTCCATGTCTGACTTATTTCACTTAACATAATGTCCTCCAGCTTCATACATGTTGCCACAAATAACCGATTTTCATTCTTTTTTATGGCTGAATAGTATTGCACTGCGTATATATACCACATTTTCTTTATCCATTCATCTGTTGATGGACACTTAAGTTGATTCCATATCTTGGCTATTATGTACAGTGCTACAATAAACATGGTAGTGCAGATATCTCTTTGATAGACTGATTTCCTTTCCTTTGAAAAAATACCCAGTGGTGAGATTGCTAAATCATATGGTAGTTCTATTTTTAGGTTTTTTAGAAGTCTTTGTATTGTTTTCTGCAATGGCGTACTAATTTATATTCTCACCAATAGTGTTTAAGAGTTCCCTTTTCTCCACATCCTCTCAAGCATTTGTTATCTTTTGTCTTTTTGATAATAGCCATTCTAACTGGGTTAAGATCATATCTCATTGTGGTTTTGATTTGAACTACCCTGATGATTAATGATGTTGAGCATATTTGCATATACTTGCTGCCAATTAGTATGTCTTTTGAGAAATGTCTATTCAGATTCTATGCCCATTTTTTAATTGAATTATTTGTTTGGTTTTTTTGTTTGGTTGGTGGTGGTGGTGGTTTTTGGTGTTGGTTTATTTGCATTCCCTGTATATTCTGAATATTAATTCCTTGTCAGGTGAATAGTTCACAAATATTTTATCCCATTCTACATCCTGTCTCTTCTCTCTGTTGATTGCTTCCTTTACTGTTCAGAAGCTTTTTACCTCTGTATAGTCCCATTTGTCTGTTTTTGTTTTTGTTGCCTGTGTTTTCATATCCTTATCGCTAAAATATTTGCTTAGAGGTGTCTCAGAGCCTACTCTGGCTCAGGAAGCTGCCTGAGTTTATTAAATGTATTATAAAATTTGTAAAAATTAAAAAATTAAAATTAAAATTAAAAATAAAACATTTGCCTAGATCAATGACTTGAAGCATTTGCGCTGTTTTCTTCAGTTGTTTTATAGTTTTGAGTCTTACATTTAAGTCTATAATCCAGTTTGAGTTGATTTTTGTATATGGTGAAAGATAGGGCTCTAGTCTTAGTCTACTGCATATGGATACCACTTTTCCTCGGACCATGTACTGAAGAGGATATCCTTTCCTCAGTGTATGTTCTTGGCACCTTTGTTGAAAATCTGTTATTTCTGGGTTCTCTATTCTGTTTCATTGGTCTCTGCATCTGTTTTTATGCCAGTACCGTGCTGTTTTGGTTACTATAGCTCTGTAGTGTGATTTGAAGTTAGGAAGTGTGGTGTCTTTGTCTAGTTTTGGTGTCAGGGTAATGCTGACTGGTAGAATGCACTAGGAAGAATTCCTTCTTCTTCAATTTTTAAAAATATTTTCAGAAAAATTAATGTTAGGACTGGGAGTGGTGGCTCACGCTTGTAATCCCAGCACTTTAGGAGGCCGAGGAGGGTGGATCACCTGAGGTCAGGAGTTCGAGACCAGCCTGGCCAACATGGTTAAACTGCGTCTCTACTAAAAATACAAAAATTAGCCTGGCATGGTGGTGCATGCCTGTAATCCCAGCTACTAGGGAGGCTGAGGCAGGAGAATCGCTTTAACCTGGGAGGCAGAGGTTGCAGTGAACCGAGATCACACCATTGCACTCCAGCCTAGACGGCAAGAATGAGACTCCATCTTGGCGTGAACCTGGGAGGCGGGGCTTGTAGTGAGCCGAGATCGTGCCACTGCACTTCAGCCTGGGCGACAGAGCGAGACTCCATCTCAAAAAAAAAAAAAAAAAAAAAGATTTAGTGTTAGTTCTTTTTTAAAAGTTTGGTAGAATTCAGCTGTAAAGCCATCCAATTCTGGGCTTTTTATTACTGGTTCAATCTCATTACACATTATTGGTCTGTTCAGGTTTTCTATCATGGTAGGTTATGTGTGTCCAGGACTTTATCCATTTCCTCTACGTTTTCCAATTTGCCGGCATATAGTTGTTCATAACAGTCTTTAATGATCCTTTGTATTTCTGTGGTACAGTTGTAATGTCTCCTTTTTCATTTCTGATTTTATTTATTTGGGTCTTCTCTCTTTTTTTCTTAATCTAACTAAAGATTTGTCTATTTTGTTTTTCTTCAAAAAAATTTGTTTTGTTGATCTTTTGTAATTTTTGCCTCAATTTCATTTATTTCTGCTCTGATCTTTATTATTTCTTTCTTTCTACTAATTTTGGGTTTAGTTTGTCGTTACTTTTCTTGTTCCTTGAGGTGCATTCTTAGATTGTTTATTTGAAATCTTTCTGCTTTTTTGATATAGGTGTTTATGGCTATAAACTTCCCTCTTAACACTGTGTTTGCTTTATCTCATTGATTTTGATATGTTTCCATTTTCATTAGTTTCAAGAAATTTTTTGCTTTCCTTCTCAATTTCATCATCGACTCGCTGGTCATTCAGGAGCATATTGTTTAATTTCCATGTATGTGTACACTTTCCAAAGTTCCTCATTACTGATATCTAGTTTTATTCCATTGTGGTCTAAGAACATACTTGGTATGATTTCAATTTTTAAAAATTTGTTGAAATTTGTTTTGTGCCCTAACATATGGTCTATTCTGGAGAATATGCCATGTGCTGATGAGAAGAAGAATGTGTATTCTGTAGCTGTTGGATAAAACGTTGTGTAAATATCTGTTAGGTCCATTTGGTCCAAAGTGCAGTGTAAAACCAATGTTTCTTTGTTAATTTTCTGTCTAGATGATCCGTCTAATGCCAAGGGTGGAGTGTTAAAGTCCCAAACATTGTTGTATTGGAGTCTATCTGTTTACATCTAATGATATTTGCTTTACATATCTGGGTGCACTGATATTGGGTGCATATATATTTACAATTGTTATATCCTCTTGCTGAATTGATCTATTTATCATTATATAATGACCTTCTTTGCCTCTTTTTATGTTTACTGACTTAAAGTCTATTTCACGTGATATAAGTGTAGCTATTCCTGCACACTTTCGGTTTCTATTTGTTTGAAATATTGTTTTCCATCTCTTCATTTTCTATGTATATCTTTTTTTTTTTTTTTTTTTGTGACAGAGTCTCACTCTGTCGCCAGGCTGGAGTGCAGTGGTGTGATCTCAGCTCACTGCAACCTCCGCCTCCTGGATTCAAGTGATTCTACTGCCTCAGCCTCCCAAGTAGCTGGGACTACAGGTGCATGCCATCATGCCCCGCTAATTTTTGTATTTTTAGTAGAGACAGGTTTCACCATGTTGGCCAGTATAGTCTCAGTCTCTTGACTTCGTGTTCCCCCCTCCTCGGCCTCCCAAAGTGCTGGGATTACAGGCATGAGCCGCCGCGCCTGGCCCTATCTATGTGTATCTTTACAGGTGAAGTCAGTTTCTTGTAGGCAGCCTATAGTTGGGTCTTGTTTTTTATCCATCCATTCAGTCAGTCCATACAGTCCATATCTTTTAACTGGGGAATTTAAACTGTTTACATTCAAGATTGTTATTGATAGGTGTTATTTTGTTCATCATGAGGGTGCCAGCAGTGGCTCCAGTGGGTCCCAGGCAGGCTGATTCTCAGGCTCCCAGGTGGTGTGCATGGGCACTGTCAGTAGCGGTGGTAAGCCTCAAGTGAGTCAGACCTCAGGTCCTTCGGCAGTGCACATGGATACTTGTAGTAGTGGCGGCCTGAATGGGCCAGTCCTTGGGTCCCCAGATGGCAATGCAGGCACAAAGCGGCTCTGCCACGAGAGGGGGCAAGATCATGTTCATGGCAGCAGGCTCAGGAAGGTAGCTCTCAGGCTCTGGGGAGTGTGCTTTAGTGCCTTATGTCCTGGGGCAGCCTCCCTGATGTGCTGGACTGCCTGTTCCCTGGGGTGTAGAGTGCTGTGTGTAGGCTTGGGTGCCAGTGGACTGGCTGTATCACTGGATCCACCTGGTGTTGGAATGCTGCAGCCCTTTAGGGAAATGTGTGGAGATGTCAGCAAGGCCCCAGGGATGTGGAGATGCAGGGGCTATTGGCCCCAGGGCAAGATGTAGTATGGTGGTAGCTCTGTTCCTAAAGTGATGCCATGCTGTAGCAGCTCGGATCCTGGGGTTTCTTGCAGGGGGACCTGGTATGAACTTCCTCTCTGGAACAGTGTTATACTATACTAGTATACTATACTCTACAGCGTTTGCTAGGCTCAGGGCCTGTGAGGGCTCTCCTGTAGGTGGGATTTCAGGCATCTGTGATGGGAATGTGGACTGCTGAGGATCTTCCACTTACATTTTCCCCAAAACAGGGAGTCCCTCTGGGCTCTGTGCTGATCCTGGCCAGCTGCTGTTCTTCCCTCTCTATACTTTCATCTCTAGTTTTCAGGTGTCAGAGAGTTTTGTCACTTCCTTGCTAAATTCCAGTGTTATCCGTTTGACATTCTATTTGTCATGTAGTTATCTGCTCACTGTCTTGGTCCTTCTGGTAGGAGGTTAGTACTGGGCATCTCTAGTCATCCATCTGGATGGTGTCTCCCCCAGTGTTATTTCCAAATACTCCATCCATATTCTAACTAATGACTTGTGAATTTTCTTCAGCTAATCTATTCCATTGAGTCAGTTGGCCCAGAATTTAGCTGTATAACAACCTTTAAATCCGTGACTGGTTTGTCTTTCCTCAGGCTGGAAAGAAACCTTCAAATCCAGCCTTCTGGTGGATCAATGGAAAAGGAGAAGAGGTGCGATGGAGTTTTGAGGAACTGGGATCTCTGTCCAGAAAATTTGCCAATATACTTTCAGAAGCCTGTTCCCTACAAAGAGGAGATCGGGTAATTCTGATTCTGCCCAGGGTCCCAGAGTGGTGGCTTGCAAATGTGGCCTGTCTGCGAACAGGTTAGTAATGTTTGCTTTCTGATCATATTTAATACTAAGCTGGATGGGAGATTTTTCCAGAACACCTAAGTAATCATGATACATTGATTCTGGTGTGGGCTTATTGTCACAGAGTGCCTTTAAATTGTATGAAAGTGTTAGGGCATAGTAGGCTAATTCCTTATCCCTAGATGGAACATCTTTAAAAGATAACCTTAGAGTTACAGCCTCACAAAAATTGTTGTGTTACCCTGATTAGAAAAAAAAAAAGATATTCTAAAGAACCTGTTTTCTGGTCCTGGTTGTCGGTTTCTTGAAGAACCCTGCTGGAGAGGACTGGTCCTTCCCAAAGTGAAATGATGAGCCAGTGTCAAGAGTCCAGGAATGGCAGACATGTGTTCCCCAATTGTCTTGCCTCCTGTGTCACCTGGGAAGAGCAAAACCTATTGTGAAGTGAATGCTTTCCATCCCTCTCTTAAGGGTCTGGGACTTAAGGGTGGCGGGGCCCAGGAGGAAAATCTATATATTTTTGAGAGTCCATTTATCCTTTGAGAAAATAATACCCAAAGCTTACTGAGCACGGTTCTAAGTTCTTTACATGTTTTAACTCATTTAATCCCCTAATTATCCTGTAAGAGAAGTACTATTATTGTCATATCGTTTTACAGATGCAGAACCTGAAGCTCACAGAGGTGAAGTGGCTTGTCCCAAGTCCCAGCTATAAGAGTGTCTGGTTCTAGGACACTCTTAATCCTTATACTTCATCTTACAGTATAATATACAACCAGCAGGAATAGAACCACAGAAAAGATGAATGCCTCCACCCATCCTTTTGGAAAGAAATCATAAAGCAATCATATACGTTTTAAGAGGCACTAAGCTGAAGTGGTGAAGTGTACAGTTCTAGAGTCAGGCTACAGAGTTCAGTTCCTGCACTGTCACTTACTACTTAAGTGATATCTTGGGCAAGTTATTCATAGTTTTTATGTTTGGGGATTTTTTTTGGTGGGGACTGAATGAGTTAAAACATACAATCAAATAATAAATATTGGTTAATATTACTTTTCAATCAAAACCTTCTTCAAGCTCAAAGTTATGGATGGTCTTCAAATAAAGAATAATTATCCAGTATTTAACATGCTTTCATGTTAGGCCAAAAGGGTCATAGACTCTGAAATCCCTTGAAAGGCAAAAGCAGATAAGTGGAAGTAAGATAAATAGATACCTTCCTGGTAAACTGACTAACTCATTCTGAGAAATACAGAATGTATAGATGGTATCTACACTACTCTAACTAACATAATGAAGCCTTTCTTCTAAACACTGTTTCTTTTCTGCCCCTTTAGGGACAGTTTTAATTCCAGGAACCACTCAGCTGACCCAGAAAGACATTCTCTACAGACTACAATCTTCAAAAGCAAACTGCATCATCACCAATGATGTTTTAGCCCCAGCAGTAGATGCTGTTGCACCCAAATGTGAAAATCTGCACTCCAAGCTGATTGTATCAGAGAACTCCAGAGAGGGGTGGGGGAACCTTAAGGAGATGATGAAGTGAGTAGCCATGCTTATTATAGAACAGCTTCCCAAAAGGAAAGGCAACAATAAAAAGATATTAAATCTAGTAGTGATTAGAAAAATGCAAATTAAAGCAACAAAAAAAAAAAAAAAAAAAAACAGTTAGTAGTTGTTGCTGCATTAATAGTACTAAACTCTGAAGTAGGAAGGAGCTTGGAGTGCTTTTTGTAGGTTGGGATCCCCTGAGATGGAGATTGGTGTATAGGAAGTTTATTAAGGAGTTCTTTTGGGATTAACACCTGTGAAGGATGGGTAAGAATGTAGGATTGGGCAGAGAAAGAAATTTATTTGCGATGGATTCCCTACAAAGCCTTTGGTCAACCCCCTGGGACCTCTGAAGGTTGAACAGCTCCTCAAAGCTGTTCCCAGCTAAAGCAAGAGGTCCTGGACTTTATACACCCACACTGATCAGTAATTGGATGTGGGTTGTCCCTAAGAGTCAAGACCTTTAACAAAGCAGCTCTCTTCAGTCAAGGCAATCTCTAAAGAGGGCTCCCAGCACCTGTGGGGATTAAGACCTTCATTCCTGCAGAGGGCTCTTGGAAGTGCAGCAGAGCATCAGTCACAGAGCTGTTATGATCTCCCAGGGAAATTGATCACAGTCAGTCCTCCAGTGTTGGCTATCCCATTCCCTTGCTGACAGCAACGCTGGTATCAGGTTAAAATAAGAAAAATGCTTAATGTTAATGGATGCAATTATAAAACTGAATTTCACTGATGCTGAAGCCTAGCATGGAGTGCTTCCATGGGTTACTTGGAACTCTTGCCAGGTACTGGTTAATTCTTAGAATTGGGCTGCCAGCAAAGTCCTTCTCTAGAATGAGCTTCCTACCTTTACTCAAGGATTTGGGAGCATGCTTGCAACTATGGACTTTTTCCTACCGCATTTAAAATCGCTAATATCGAGTTCTTGCCAAAGGCCAAGTACTGTTCTAATAAAAATAATGTTATAATTGCAATCATAGTTAATATTGATATGGTTATGTGCCAGAAACTATTCTAAGGACTTCAGATATATTACCTCATGTAAACCTCACGGCAACCTAGGTACTACAATTATACGCTGAATAAGGTCAAATGCTCGTACCTGGCAGAGCTAACTTTCAAACCCAGGCAGTATGAGGGCTGAGCCTACACTCCTCACTCCTGTATGTACTGCCTCTACTAAGAGATCAGTACGATAACCCTGCCTCAGGTTTGAGGGCAACAGTATCGGTGATGGAAGTGATAGGAACACAGCTATAGATACTATTTTTTTTTTCTTTAGACGGAGTCTCGGAGTCTCGCTCTGTTGCCCAGGCTGGAGTGCAGTGGGGCAATCTTGGCTTACAACCTCCGCCTCCCGAGTTCAAGCAATTCTTCTGCCTCAGCCTTCCAAGTAGCTGGGATTACAGGCATGTCCCACTATGCCCAGCTAATCTTTTGTATTTTTAGTAGAGACAGGGTTTCACCATGTTAGCCGGGATGGTCTCAATCTCCTGACCTCATGATCTGCCTGCCTCGGCCTTCCAAAGTGCTGGGATTACAGGTGTGAGCCACTTCGCCTGGCCTATAGACAGTATTTTTAATTAACTAAGATAATTATGAAATCATAGACTGAACACTTGGTGTAGCTTTGTCAGGTTTTGAAAACAGCTTTTCAGCCAGGCGTGGTGGCTGATGCTTGTAAATCATCACTTTAGGAGGCTGAGGTGGGATGATGGTTTGAGTCCAGGAGTTCAAGACCAGCTTGGGAAACATAGTGAAACCTCTTCTCTACATAAATAAAAATAATTAGCCAGGCGTGATGATGCACATCTGTAGTCCCAGCCTACTTGGGAGGCTGAGGTAGGAAGATTGCTTGAACCCAGGAGGTCAAGGCTGCAATGAGCTGTGATTAAGCCACTGCACTCCAGCCTGGGTGAGAGACAGAGACCCTGTCTAAAAAAAAAAAAAAAAAAGGAAGGAAGGAAGAAAAGAAAATAGCTTTTCTATATTTCTCATGAATGGCCTGGAATGGCCTTTTTGTTTCTACTCACTCTCATCCCCACATGCCTGGATAAATCCGTGTGCATCTTAGACACTTGATATGTATGCGTGCAGCTGCCCTAATGTGTGATTTGTATAGAAGTCTGATTATCCTTTGGAACTAAAAGGTTTTCTTTCTCTTTAACTGGAATTCTTTCTTCCCTGGATGGATGGTTAGATCCTGTTCAATGTTATTGTCTACTATATCCAGAGAGTCTATATATGTAGACTCCCTTGTGGGAAACAGAAAAACCATCCTTTCATAGTTGGCAAACTTTTTTTTTTTTTCTGGAGCCAGAGTCTTGCTCTGTCACCTAGGCTGGAGTACAGTGGCTCGATCTTGGCTCACTGCAACCTCCACCTCCCAGGTTCAAGCAATTCTCAGCCTCCTGAGTAGCTGGGATTACAGGTATGTGTCACTGTTCCTGGCTAATTTTTGTATTTTCAGTAGAGACAGGGTTTCTTCATTTTGGCCAGGCTGGTCTCGAACCCCTGACCTCAGGTAATTCACCTGCCTCAGCCTCCCAAAGTGCTGGGATTACAGGCGTGAGCCACCATGCCCACCCTCAGCAAACATTTTCTGTAAAAGGGACAGAGAATAAATACTTAAGGCCTTGCAGGCCATATAGTCAGTCTCATCACAGCTACTCAACTCTGCCATTGCAGTGTGAAAGCAACCACAGATAATACATCAATGAATAGGCAATAACATTTTACTTACAGAAACAAGAGGCAGGTCAGATTTTGCCAGTAGGCTGTAGTTCGTTGGCCCATCAGTACCCATGACTTTTACTAACATGTATTGTATTAACATACCCATTTTTAAAAATCACATTTTAAAGCATCCATAGGGGAGAGAAGGGGAAAATTCTTCCTTATCCATGATTGCAAGATCACAGACTCCTCACTCTGCGGGAGGTATGATAAAAATCTCAAGTTTTAAAAATGCTTCAGTCCTTCTTGATCGTAGACTAAAAAGCTAGGAAAGCAGCTATTACAAATGAGCTTTTGATGACAAAGTTGAGTTTTGATTCTAGAAAGCCCCAAAAGGATAGAGAAAGTGATGGCTTTTACCCTGTAATTCAGGCTAACCCACTGGCACCTGATTCATGACATGAAGAGGTTCAAGTGGATAGCTTCTCAAAATGTTTCAGTGGTAACAGTCTATGATGCTGTGTTTAACATGCAGTCACTGTAGTTTTTCCTTTGCAGATGTGCCAGTGACAGCCACACCTGTGTGAAGACAAAACACAATGAGATCATGGCTATGTTCTTTACCAGTGGAACAAGTGGATATCCGAAAATGACTGCACACACCCACAGCAGTTTTGGCTTAGGATTATCTGTAAATGGAAGGTATACTTCCACAGAAGTGCAACTTGAAGTGTCAAAACTGCAAAGATGATGACTTATGTCCTGGTCTTTTATATTTACTTTCCTATGTACATCAGGGCTACTCTTTGTTTTCCCAGGTTCTGGCTAGATTTAACACCCTCAGATGTGATGTGGAATACCTCAGATACGGGCTGGGCAAAGTCTGCCTGGAGTAGTGTTTTTTCTCCATGGATCCAGGGAGCATGTGTATTCGCACACCATTTACCCCGTTTTGAGCCAACTTCTGTCTTGCAAGTAAGCCAAAGCACAGGGAGGTCAATATTTAGAAATACATTAAGCAGTATGGCTGACAGAACTGATGAATAAAGCAACTTGCAGAGATCAGAGTAGACAATATGATTTAAGATGTGTCACATCCAGAAAGTCAATAAGCCTGAAAAGATACAGTCGGCCCCCTCTGTATCTACAGGTTCTGCAGCCTCTGATTCTGCCAGCCACGTATTGAAAATATTTGGGAAGAAAAACAAAAAAACAAAATACAACAATTAAAAAAATGCAAATAAAAAATACCATGTAACAAATATATACATAGCATTTACATTGTTTTAGGCAGCATAAATAATCTAGAGATTTAAAGTTTACGGAGGATATGCATAGGTTATATGCAAATACCACACAATTTTATATAAGGAACTTAAGCATTCCTGGAACCAATCCTGCAGACACTGAGGGATGATTCTACAAGAAAAGGTAAGAATGCATTTACATTAACATAAACAATGTTTAAATTGTGCTGCGCCAACCAAAGACATTTAAGCACTTATTAAAGTTGTAGTAAGACCAAGAGTTTGCTTTTTCTAAATTGCAGACACTCTCCAAGTACCCCATTACAGTCTTCTGTTCAGCAGCAACTGTATACCGAATGCTTGTACAGAATGATATGGCCAGGTAAGAAATGTTAGTAAATAGGCATTTAGTGGGCGGAGGAGAGAAGATGAAGCTATAAAATAAAAGATCTTTCTGCCTGAAACATAGCTCCAAGCCAGTAGACACTGGATTTAGCAATCTCTCCTCTTCCTCTTTCTCCTTCTTGCCTGCATTCTGTGAATGATAATTACTGTGTCCAGGGCAGGCTCCCCCAAACAAGAAGAAAGTGAGGGTTCAGCTACATCTATAGCTCTAAGCCCAGTGGTTATGGGTAAGAAGATGGTAAATCTTTTGGATGATGGCTTTCTTTGGGCTGAGAAAATAGAGAACTTGCTTCTATTTGGAACCTTATCCCAGCAGATAAAAAGAGGATTCAAATGCTGATTCCATTTGAAACGGTGCATTGGTAATCCGAAAAGAAAAACAACCCCTGTTTCTCTTTGTTTTGTCTATTTGTTTGTTTTTTGTTTTGTTTTGTTTTATTTCAATAGGGTTTTGGGGAACAGGTAGTGTTTGGTTACATGAATAAGTTCTTTAGTGGTGATTTCTGAGATTTTGGTGCACCCATCATGCAAGCAGTATACACTGTACCCAATGTGTAGTCTTTTATACCTCACCCACCTCCCACCCTTTTCCCAGAGTCCCCACAGTCCATTATATCATTCTTATGCTTTTGCATCCTCATAACTCAGTTCCCAGCAACCACTATTTTACTATATTCACAACACTCAATACTCCTGGTCTCCAGATGTAAGGGATCTTTTCCCACACATTGACCAATTCTCCAACATCAATATGACATTATCTCCCTGGAGGCAGCATCATATCCCACAGGTTAATGACTCAGTCCCACAAGGCTGTTTCCCATTTCAAATGGTAATCACAAATCCAGGCTGTCAGCTGCGCATATGACCAAATGGCTATAAATCAGAGGTTCCCATGACCCTTCCTTGGGTTTAGTAATTTGTCATGATGGCTCACAGAATGCAGGAAAACACTTACTTACATTTCCTGGCTTATTATAAAAGATATGATAAAAGTAACAGATGAATAGCTAGCCAGATGAAGAGGTACATAGGGTGAGGTCCACAAGGTCCCAAGTGCAGCAGCTTCTATCCCTGTGGAGTGGGGGTGCACTACCTTTCCGGCACATGGTGCTCTCCAAACCTCATATTTCAGGGATTTTTTTTTTGGAGGCTCCATTATGTAGGCATGATTGATTATTAAGTCAATCTCCAGCTCCTCTCCTTTCCCTGAAGAATAGGGGTGAGGCTGAAAGTGCCAAGCTTCTATTCCTGGCTTGGCCTTTCTGGTGACCAACCCCTAGATGGGAGCCCCGTTGAGAGTCACCTCATGAGAACAAAAGACAATTCTATCACCCAGGAAATTCCATGGAATTTAGAAGCTCTGTGTCAGGAACTACAGTCAAAGGCAAAATATTAGAACAAAAGATACTCCTAGCACACCCATCACTTGGGAAATTACAAAGGTTTTAGACGCTCTGGGCCAGGAACCCAGGATGAAGACCCAGTACAGGTTGAGTATCCCTTATCCAAAATGCTTGAGACCAGAAGTCTTTTGGATTTCAGATTGTTTTGGATTTTGGAATATTTGCATTACACTGGTTGGGCTGCCCTAATCCACAAACATGAAACCCGAAATCCTCCAATGAGTATTTCCTTTGAGCATCATGTCGGTGCTAAAAAAGTTTCAGATGTTGGAGCACTTTGGATTTAGAATTTTCAGATTAAAGATACTCAACATCTATGTATTTCTTGTTATAGCACATATCACGGGTAAATATATTTAAATTGATGTTATTTAATTATTGAATAGGAAATAATTCACCTGCCTTAAAAGTCAAAAGGTATAAAAAAAATACACAGTGAAAGGGTTTGCTTCAAACCTTGTCCCCAGTGACCCAGTCCTCTTCCATGGAGGCAAACTGAGTTTCCAGTTTCTTGTCTATTCTCCCTGAAAATACACAAACTAATACACATGTGTTCTCCCCTTCTCTATTTTTTTTTTTTTTTTTTTTGAGACGGAGTCTTGCTCTGTCGCCCAGGCTGGAGTGCAGTGGCACAATCTCAGCTTACTGCAACCTCTGCCTCCTGTTCAAGCAATTCTCCTGGCTCAGCCACCTGAGCATCTAGGATTACAGGTGTGCACAACCATGCCTGGCTACTTTTTGTATTTTTGGTGGAGATGGGGTTCTGCCATGTTGGCCAGGCAGGTCTCGAACTCCTGACATCAGGTGATCCACCCACCTCTGCCTCCCAAAGTGCTGGGATTACAGGCGTGAGCCACCACACCTGGCCTCCCCTTCTCTGTTATAAACATAAATGGGATCACAAGATTCACACAGTTCTGCACCTTGCTTTTTTCCCCTAACAATACATTCTGGCACTGTGTTGTGCAATATGGTAGCCACTAACCACAGATAGTTATTTCAATATAAATATTAATTAAATAAAATTAAAAATTCAATCCCTCAGTTATACTAGTCCTGTTTCAAGTGTTCAATATTCATATAGGGCTACCATATACTGTAGTGGGTACAGTAGATTACAGAGTACTTCCATCATAACAGAAAGTTCTATTGGACAGCACTGTCCAAGAGCTTCCTCATTTTTTATAACTGCATAGTATTCCATTGTATAAATATCCCACCATCAGTTTAACCAAACAATTGGTAAACTTTTCATTGCTGATTTAAAGTGTTATCATGGTGCTCGCTTCAGCAGCACATACACTAAGATTGGAATGATACAGAGCAGATTACCATGGCCTCTGCATAAGGATGACATGCAAATTTTTGAAGCAGTCCATGAAAACATAAAAATGAAAACAAAATAAAATAAAATGTTATTATGGGGTACCTTCCCTAAGAACAGAATGACTTTCTTTGTAATAAATTACACCTCCACCCCAAAACGGGGGGTGAAGAAAAACTAGTATTTGGGATGTTCTAATATCATTCTATGATATTAGAATGATTTATCTTTTAATATTTTTATTTTTAATTTGTGTAGGTGCATAGTAGATGTATCTATTTATGGGGTAAAATGGTTTGTGCCAGGGAGAGGAATTAAAAAGCAACTAAAACATTTTATATTGAAGTTCATAAGAAATAATCCTTAATTTTCACTTCTCTCCATTTTTCCTCCTAAATCTAACTTATCTGGTTTTCTGAGAAGCTATAAGTTTAAAAGCTTAAAGCACTGTGTGAGTGCTGGGGAACCAATCACCCCTGATGTGACTGGAAAATGGAGAAACAAGACGGGCCTAGATATCTACGAAGGATATGGACAGACTGAAACGGTACCTGACCTCACTGAAAAGACATAGCTGGACTCCATTTAGTCAGATGAATAAAAACCAAAGTGTCCACTGTCTCCTTACGATTATTTGAGGGATAAGAGTTGAGTGGTTAGAAAATGTTTAAAAAACAATGCTTGCAAGAACCTAACTGCAAAAAAGCTCTGTTAACAGATAGCTGTTTAAATAGCCATTCACTGACAAACACCACTGTTAATGGATCAGAGTAAGGGCAATTACAGTTTTTTTTAATGAAATAATACTGGATCTACTGAAAGAAAGAATTCCTCCCAATGTGATAGGGAAGTATCTTATTTAGAGCTGCCTCGAAACGGAAAATGCTGAGCTCCTTGCTGCCTGAAATATTAAGAGTTTGCTGGACAACTCCTTAGCAACAATACTCTAAAAAGGATTTTTTTTTTTTTTTTTTTTTCTTGAGACGGAGTCTCGCTCTGTCGCCCAGGCTGGAGTGCAGTGGCC